CGCAAATTACACAGGTGCGCAAATTACATGGGTTTTTACGGTAACTAATTCAGTTTTTCTTATACAATAACTACCCATCCATGGCGTTACAACATAAGAAGTAACACTTAGTTATTATATACATATTAAATTTCACACTTTATTTAAATAATTTATAATGATTATTATTTGCTTCGTTATCAACTAGGAGATCAAGATCGCTGGACAGAGTAAAAAGCTCCAGCAGATACAACTCTGCCAGCCCATCTTCCTCATCAAGAGGGAAGGACGGTAAAGAGTAAGTCAATCTCATTAAGTCATACAAGTTGTTTTTCAAGAAACATGATTTTTTTTTATGACAAAATCAATACATCAATTCAGGGTTAGACCCTTACCGCTTTTGCAAAAATAAAAATAAAAATGGCAAAACAGCCTTGTTATCAGGCAAACATCAACGTTCTGAAATTAAAGCTCTTTATAGTACATTATATATTTCACTCATACGACAGAATACACTGTGCTTCACACTCGTGAAAATATTGATATCCTGCTGAGAATATGATACGCAATGGGAAGCCATTGAATTTCTTCTATATACATGTACTGTATTAATATTGAAAATCACAGCTACTAAGTAACCAACAGATTTCTACCCTCTTTATATAGAATATTGGCATGAGTAACGTTATTTCTGTAGCCTAGAATAATCCACATTTGACAATAGAGTATATCATTGTTACATTAATTTCAAAGAAAAATTGAATTTGTATACCATTTTGAATAGGAGTTTATACAAGAACAAGTGGCTGACAATATTGTTTTTAAAAGTGTACATCAGGAAAGTCTTCATCATATATACTAGACTAATTAGAATGTATCTTTTTTCAGAGATCCTGCTGAAATGATTCCCGGTTTCCATGATATGGTAAGAAAGACTTATTCACAATACAATGGCATGGTGGCCTTGCATGATTCTGTGAATCCTTGCTGTTTACCCAGAACTGGGTTTCTTTTTGAAATAAGAAAAATGAAGGTTATAGGTTTCATTGTCAATATGAAGTGAAGAGCTGAACAGACTCGTACCATGAGCAGGATAGCTCTTAAGTCATTGTAAATATGTGTAAATGTAACGTGTTAATACTTCCATGACAGTAGAACAAATACCTTTCTTTCATTTTCTTTAATTATTCAGTTTTTACAATACTATGATATTGTTGCTGTAAAGAAAAGCTTATTAGAATGGGTTTTTTGAAAATCCAAACAAAATCATTGTATCAGGTATATCTATTTAAGAAAACATACAGTATACTGTGCACAATGTAGGTAAAACAAAATAAACACAATATGGTATGCTTGTGATCAGGTGTCCTTTTATCTTCCCTGAAAAAAATACAAAACACAAGAGTTGTTTACTGGAATTACACATAATCTAAACACTTTCACCCAATTGTTATTTTCCTAAATATAGAACACATGTTTTACTTGTAGACACCTGCTGAGAAGAGCAAACTGAGGCTGCAGTTGGCCCTGAAGGCTGCTGGTAAGTAAGAAAAGAAATTGTTGATTTGCTGACATAAAAATCTCTGTCAAACAGCTTAATTTGTTTAAAATGGATTTTTCATGTTCATATTAATATTTGGATTCAAACACTCATATATTTTTACCAAAACCCACTTCCATGAAGTTTGGGTATACATGTATTTGCTTTGTTCTCACAACTGTCCATCCATATCATGCTGATTTCGGTTTCCGGAGCATATCTCAACCGCTGTTTCACAAATGAGTGTCCAACTTTTCGTAAAGTTTCATCACATAGACAGTGTGTCGCATCTATAAACAAGGTCATTTTACCTTTTACCTTGACCTCAAGGTACTGAAATAATGGTTTCCAGAGCATATCTCTGCTGCTGTGTCATGAATTGGAATCAAATGTTTATAGGTACATCATGGGAAGGTGGTGTGTCACAACCTAAAAGGTTGTCACTGACCTCATTTTGACCTATGACTTTGACTTCAAGCTCTAAAATTAGTGTAATTCAGGTTTCTGCAGCTTCAGTTTCATGAATTCACAGGCTCCAGACTATGTAGATACATGTATGTGGGGAGTGGGGGTATCTGTGAAGCATTTGCTTTGAGTGAAATGTAGTTCACACTTAATGAAAACAATCTTGCCTTTTTGACAAAGCAAAACGCATAATACATTTGTGACATCAAAGATACAAATGTAGTAACAGTGAGGCGTTAAATATAACACCACTAATTTGGTTTTGGTGCATCATCACCAAAGTTTGCATAGTTGAAATAAATGCTGTACAGGTCATACATATTTAACTATTCCTTTTGGTGCACAGCTGCAGCAGACGAGAGGATCAAGGATCAGATTAAGGAGAGTCAGTTTGGCGGAGCGTCCACAGTGGAGGACCAGATGAAATTCTCCAGTGCAGTCAAAGACATTGAGAGCTCCAGTTTTGTGCCAACAAGTTTCAAGTCCAACAGATCAGTAGGTTTTGAACCCAACTTATGAGGACAATCACATCATCATAATGGGACATGGGGCAAGATTTATACCAGATTTAACTGTCATACATATATATAAAGGAGTCTTCATAAAACATGTTAGGATAAATCCTTTGACTGATTTAAAAAACTCAATTGCTTTCCAACATGTTGGGCTTATTTCATGTTGCTGCGTTGTGATGTGATTTTGCGGTTGTTAAAGTTGACACAATTTTGGCACATTTCGTCACATTCTGCTTCCTTTCAATTGATTTGGACATCAAATCAAGCCATCAGGTGAATGGTTGTGTGTAATATGTTCAGTATCATCAACAAAGATTATCACAAAACATTTTATATCATAGCTTGGAGAACTAATCAAACATGGCCGACATTCCTTTTCATTCTGGGAAACACTTCCCATGATTGTTTGGAGTTCTCAAAATCAGCCATTAATACATCTGTATTTTTTCTCAAGTTCAGATGAAGCGACTGCAGAATAAGAGGTTGTTCTGGTGCACTTTTGCAACACACATTATGTTATTTACATAACTGCACAATTAATATCATTTTTGTTGGGAAATCTTACCAGATATTAACTGCAAACAGCAGAATCACAATGGGTAACCCATTCAAAATAGCGCTGAACCTTGTTGTAAAGTGCAACGTCATTAGAACCTGGCGTCAAACATTTCTACGTAGAAATATTTGTATCATGTTACTTTAAAAAGTGTAATAAATAGAATAATTCAATGGTCTTCTAATGTGAATACCATATACATGTATATTTGTCAGTCGTATGGCAGAATATTATCAGACTCTTTCATGCCCAGGGGTGTAGGATAGGGAAATTCCA